TCCCCCCCCTCCCTGCCCTCCCTTTCCCTCCCCCTCCCCCTCCCTTCCCCCTCCCCTCCTGTTGAAATACCCTCTCTGCACATGATTCTGCATGCACTGTTGCATTGATTGCGTATGCCCGTAAGATGCCCTCTCGGCACAGAACACCTCTTCATGGCAGCGCAGGGTGCCGCTGCCCGCGCATGCCGCCGAGGAAGCGCCACAGGAGGGGCAATCGATCAGCAGGTCGATTTCACGCTCGAGTCCTCCTCCTCCTCCTCCTCCTCCTCCTCCCTCCTCCTCCTCCCTCCTCCTCCCCCCCTCCCCCTCCTCATCATTCCCCTCCTCCTCCTCCTCCTCCTCCTCCTCCTCCTCCTCCTCCTCCTCCTCGATCGAGGTCAACAGCGCCGCCGTGAGGCTTGAGAGCGGGCTGCTGGCGGGCAGCCCCGCCAGCACACCAGGGAACGGGCAGGCCTCGCCCCTGCAGGGGGCCCCGCGTCGAGTGGGGAGTGGGTCGCGGAGCAGGAGCCTTCCGCGATCGGCGTGCGTGGAGCAGCCGCAGCGCGGGCGCAGATGGCGCGTGCGCTTGGATCCGCGAGGAGAAGGAGGAGCAGGAGCAAAGAGGCGTAGCCCGACTCCTCCGCCAGGCCCAGTGGGCGTCTTGTGCGCAAGGCCGAAGCGCTGCGGACAGCCTTAGGACGGGCACGGCGTCCACAGGGTCAAGAGAGAGGGCTTTAGCCACGAACGAGATGGCCGAGGCAGCGCTGCAAGCAGTGCAGGCGCAGCTTCAGACCACTGTGGCGCAACAACAGGACCATAATTGAGCCCTGCAGCAGAGCCACGCAGCGAACCAGCAGCTACATACCACAGTGACGCAACAACAGAACCATAGTGGAGCCCTGCAGCAAAGCCACGCAGCAGCGGCAGCGCCGGCGACCACTGAGGTGCTGCAGTAACTTGTGTTTGTGCTCACGGAGCAGACGAAGGCCCTCGCGCGGCGCGAGAGGCCGCAGCTCGTGGACCAGAAGGCCATCGGGAAACCTTGGACATTCACAGGAGATGAATCCAGGTTCCCGGAGTGGGCCCGCAAGATAGAGGACTATCTGTGCGGTGTAGAGCCTTTGCTGGGTCGTGCGCTGGAGTGGGCCTTGGGCCAAGACGACCCAGTCAGCGTGCACGACGTTGACCTCCAGTTCGGAGGCGCAGACGACAATTTCATCGAAGGGATAAAGGGTCTCAGCCAGCAGTTCAAGGCCGTTCTCGCCAGCGCCACAGACGGCGAGGCATGGGCAATCGTTCAGAGTTGCGCGGGGAACTGATTGGAAGCCTGGCGGCTGCTCCGCCGGAGTTGTGACTCGGTGAGCGGCAGGGGGCGCCCGACACCTCCCGAGGGCGACCATTTCACCCAGCAAGAAGAATATCGAAAAGCTTGGGGCGGCACTCCAGACGTGGGAGGCGATGGGGACCAGCTACAATCAAGAAGGCGCAGAAGCTTGGCGAGGCACAGATTGCCGACGACTTTCTTGCCTCGGCCTTGGAGGCCATGGTGCCCGAAGAGCTAGAGAAACACCTGCAGCTCAACGCGTCCAGGCTGAAGAAGTACGCCGACGTGCGCGCAGAGGTAGTGCAGTACTACGAGACCAGAGCGGGGAAACAGTTCAGGATCAGCGCGCGGGACCGCGTGCCGACTGCGAACGCGGATGCCGGGGTCAAGCCCATGGACGTCGACTCTCTTGCTTAGAAGGGCAAGGGCGACTCCAAGGGAAGCAGAGGTAAGGGCAAAGGCACGGGCTCAGACGGCAAGGCCTGGCGGGGCAAGGCTGGCAGCTCCAGACCTGCTCCGTCCGAAGGGTACTGCAACAACTGGTGTTGTGGCAAGTGGGGCCACAAGGCAAAATACTGCCGGGCGAAAAAGCAAGCTGGCCCGTAGGGCCATTTGAAGCCCGCCGCCAAGGCGAAGGGCAAGGGCAAGGGTATGCGCGCCAGCTCTCGGGGCCCAGAGCACGAGGACGACGGCGAGCCCGAAGGCGAGCAGGGTGCGCTGGACATAGGGTCTCTGGGCGCGAAGTTCCCAGCCAGCCACTGTGCCGACGGTTATCTCAAGTTTAACTTGGACACCGGCGCCGCCGTCGCGGCGCACCCGCAGAAGTGGTTCGAGGGCCGCGAGGGGAAGCGCGAGGACGGCGGCCGCAAGGGCTATGTCACGGCGAGCGGGGAGAGAATCCCCATCTACGGAGGCGTCCAGCTGCATTGCGCAGATGAGAACTCGATGGTGCGGAACATCGCGGGTCGGCTCGCAGACGTGCGCGAGGTTTTGGCCTCGGCCTCCCAAGTGGCTCGGGCAGGGCAGTTGCTCGTGCTGGAAGAAGGCGGGGTTTGCGTCGTCCCCCGCGACAGCGTCGTCGGCAGGAAGCTCATGCAGGAGCTGAACAGGTTGGTGCAGAAGCACGGCCGCGAAACCCTCCTGCCGGTGTACGAGGAGAGAGGCGTGTACAACTTCTACATGCGTGTAGATGACCAGGCGGAGGTCGCCGGGCTCGAGCACCCAGGCACGCGGGCAGCTCCGCAGCCAGGGTTTGGGCGGCTGGACCCTCGCCCGTAAGTCCGCTGGAAGGAGCGCCAGGTGCCGGCCGCAGAGCAGGACGAGGTATTGGAGAACAACACAGGGCCCAAGAGGAGTCCGAGGGCGCAGATTCCTTCACATCTTGTGACTACGCGTGCGTGAATGCTGATGCGGACGAGAGCGCTACAATGCCCGTTCTTGTCAGGGAAGACGGACCGACGAACAGTTGTATGGCGACTGCAATCCCGAGCAAGGGAGTCGATCCCTACGCGGTGAGGTTCTTTGCTGGGTGTGTCAAGGTGCTTGGATGGAAGCGATGCGTATCCAAGTCAGACGACGAGGCAAGCCTAGTGGCGCTGAAGGCGGCTGCGGGCGACGCGATGCCTCGCGTGGAAATGGCGCCGCGGGAGAGTCCTGTCGGCGACCATGGGGCCAGCGGAAAGGCCGAAGTAGCTGTGCGGGAAGTTAAACGGACGATGAGGTCTTTAAAGGAGGCGTCGGGGGAGAAACTCCAGAAACGCTTGCCTCGGGCGCGTGGCGTCTGGGCGTGGCTTCCCAGGCGCGCGGCCGCCTGCCTGTCGCGGTACAGGGTGGGCGCCGACGGCCGGGCGGCGGAGCAGAGGAGGGCCGGGGGGGGCTCTGGAACAAGGCCCTGATTGAATTCGGGGAGCGCGTTCGCGCTTGGTTGGCGCAGGAAGAGCCGAGGTTCGGCTTTGCGCCCCGAATGGCCGATGGCATCTACGTCGGGCACCGCGCGCGCGTCGGCGGCTTGATGGTTGCGGCGGCAGCCGGGGTGGTGCGAGCCAAGACATTGAACGAGATGTCGGTCGAGGAGCGCTGGAAGGCGGACTTCTTCGGCGACTTCCAGGGGGGGCCTTGGGGCGCGGCGCCGGGCGTGGGGAGCTCCGCGCCGGCCGGGCCCGCTGAAGCGGGTGGCCCCGCAGCGTCGGTGCCGCGCCGCCGCCGCCGCGGCATCCGGTGGCGCAGCGCGCCAGAGGCGCAGGGGGCTCTTGAGGAGGCGTGCCAGGGCCGAGGAAGCTGTGCATCCTGAACAGGGGCGTGCAGACGTGGGGCTCCGCGCCGGGGTGCGCGGTGCGTGGGCGCGTCGCTATGGGCGCGCCGGCTGGGGTGGCGCGCGCGAAGCAGTGCGCCGAGCGGATGGCCGAGGAGATCCGCGCGGACCCCGCGCAGAGACGCCGCGTGGAGGCGCAGGCCGCTCGACGGGGGCCGCGGCCGGGCGAGGGGGCCGCAGAGGAAAACCTCCACCATCCCCCCTCCCCTCGCCCCCTTCCTACTTATCCTCGTCGCCCCGATCGTCGCGAAGAGCGGCGAGGGCGAGGAGAAGCAGGGGTAGTTGCAGAAGGGGCAGAGGGGGGGGGGGGAAAGAGGAGGAGGAGCAGAAGGGCCGCCGGGGGGGGGAATCATACTTCTGAGAACAGCAGGAGGGCCGAGGTCAGCAGCTCAGGGCAGCAGCGCTCTGGCGGGTAGCCCCGCGAGAGTCGAGCCGAGGCCAGGGCGCGCCGAGGCGTCTCGAGAGCCTCTGGCGGGCTCGGAGGAACGACCCTCGGAAAAGGAGACGCGTGGAGAGGGGCCCTGGGGGCCGAACTGAGCTCGAGCGGAAGCGGCGGAAGGTCCAAGACAGACAGTGGATGGGGCGCCTGGGGCGTCGGGTTCTAGTTCGGGCGCCCCCGCGCCGCCGCTTGCAGCGGCCCCGCGGCGGCTGGCGGCGAGGGCGCGACGCCAGCGGGGGGATCTGGCAGCGACGCCGCTGGGCCCCCCAACCCATGCATTGAAGTCGGATCAGTGGATGCTGGGAGGCTTTCGCATGACGAGGGAACGCTTTGAGCAGTTCATCGTCACAATATTGTAGCAACGTTCAAGCGTGACAGCATTGATTTGCCACCCTCCGAGTTGAAACATATCGCGCACCTGTCACTGGGGCTGGGGGCCGCATGCCGTAGGTGTGTCTGAGCTTCAGGGGCAGTTTCGTTCATGATTTTCGCTCGGAGGCGCCCTGGGCGTGGAAAAGGGGATCTGCGTGGGCGTGGGGGCGCCGAAGCCCGGCGGGCAGCGTTGGGATTTCAGTGGCGATGCAGACGTGGGTGAGTGGTTCAGGGCACTTGACCGTGAAGACCCATATCTTCTCATAGGGTCGCCTCCGCGTGTTGCGTTCCATCGCCTTCAGGGTGGCGCGCGTCAGAGGGGCCCCGCTGCTCTGGCCATCGGCGTGGATGTAGCTCGGAAACACATGTGGTTAGCCTGCGAAAAGTATCGTCGACTGATGGCTCGTGACAGGTATTTCCTTCGCGCGCGCCCACGTGGCGCCAAGAGCTAGCATAATGAACGGATCAAGACATTGCTTTCTCTGGGGGCGGTTTCGCGAGACATGGGTCCTGTGTGCAAGTGGGGCCTGGGTGGCCACGAGGGTTCGCGAGATCGTGGCGCGCGTTATCTGAAGGAGCCAACAGAGCTCATGACCAGTCTACCAGGACTGGCTGGAGATCTGGCAGAGCAGCTTCTGACTGGATTTGTGAGCGGGCAGCCCCGCCCCGAGCGCCACTGCATCGTGAAGATTGTGGGTGGCTTGGTCAGGCGCGCGCCAGATTCCCTTCCCGTGGTGGTGTGGTGTGCGTTCTTCGAGCCATCAAAACGAGGTTGCGCGATGAAGGGCGTCTTTGCGAGCTGGCGGAGGCCGCGGGTGGACCGCTCCCGCTCGGCCCAGATCCTTTCGAGGCTAGCCGAGAGCTTCTGAACGACGGCGAGCGGTGCTGGGGTGATGTCAGTGGCGGTTGGCTCAATCCTGTGGTGGTTCAAGAAGCGCGCAAGTGCGAGGTCGGTTGGTTGCGCCGGCAAGAGGTGCGCGAGAAACGGCCGCTGCAGGAGCGCAGGGGAATCGCCGGGACCAATCCAATCAAGGTTCTTTGGATAGACGCGAACAAGGGCGACGACGAACGACCCGACTACAGGTCGAGGATTGTTGTCCGCGAGAAGCGGGGTGAAGGCGAAGAGGCCCCGGCGCTGCCGTCTGCCTTGCTCTTCTTCGCGATGCCGCCCCTGGGGGCGGTGAAGATCCATGGCGCCAGGATGGTCCAGGAAAGGGTCAGTCCCAGAGGGCAACCCCTCGGGGTGTGATTCTGCGACATTCCCGTGCTCATTTCTATGGCTAGGCAGAGAGGTCTGTGTGCATGGAGCTCCCAGAGCAGGAGCAAGACGGAATCCATTGTGGATCGCTCGCGAAGTCCTCGCGTGGGATTCAAGACGAGTCAGCGATCTGGCAGCGTGACTGCGCGTGGGTGTTACAGAGTGATGGTCACGTGGCGGGCAGAGCCAGACCAGCACTGTT